GGAAAGGAAAGGAAAGGAAAGGAAAGGAAAGGAAAGGAAAAGAAAAGAAAAGAAAAGAAAAGAAAAGAAAAGAAAAGAAAAGAAAAGAAAAGAAAAGAAACCAACTAGCAGAGCTTTGATTGCATGGTCAAGGCTGCTATGGTGACTTTTAGACCATACCCTGTGGGCACATCTGTCTCCCAAACAACATGCTCTCAGGGAAGCAGTAGGCACCTCTAATCAGAGGTCTGAACCAATCCATCTCAGAGAGGTTTCGCATTACTGTAGGCAGAATGCCACACAGTGTGAGCACCTTTTATATTCAGATTTTGAAGGAGTTTGGGGAATTAAAAAATAAGAAACAAGGAAGAAGCCCTGACTGAATTAAACACCTTTTATATAGTAATCTGTTGTTATATTAGAAATAAAGATCATGAAAACAAGTTGGGGTGGACATCTGGAATTGTTTGTAAGATCATTCTCATTCAGCACAGAAACACAGAATAAGTAGCATATTATTCCCTCCCCCCTGCCCCCCCCCCCCGTCAGTAACAGGGATTATGGCAATTATTCTTAAAGACAAATTTCCCCTAAATCTTCCTCTAGTATGTGTTAGGTATGTACAATCAGGACTCTGAAAGAATGAGAGAGCAGAAGATCCCTATTCTAAAAATACATCCTTGCAAAAGCATTTTTAAAATCCTGTGTTAATCTATACAAAGATCATTTTTTTAAAAAAAATTCAGAGCTGTGTTGATTTGGAATAGTTACTATTTTTTTTCCTCAGCAATAGAACCAGGATACATTTATATTACAATGATTTTTAAATCTGCTAACTGCAAGTACAAACAGTAGCTATATGCTGCTAAAATAAAAAATGGCTAATCTGCATTAAATAATCTTCATTCTGAGTATTTGTTTTCAAAGCTCTGGTGGAAGAAATCACTCTGATTAATTGGTCAAAATATCATTTATGTCCTTTCTGCTTCTGCAGCACTGTGTATAGTCAGAACCACATCATTCTCTGGATAAATCTCATGAATATTTGTAATTTGGGCAAAGTAATATGAATAATTCTGCAAAACAGTATGGAAAGAAAATGACAGCTGTAGATTCTCAGTTCACACCAATAGTGCTCTAGCAATCCTTCTTCACTAATGTTAATGGCTGTGATCCAAATAATTTTATGAATGTACAGGAGAGAACCATATGGATAGTGGGAGCTTGGTCTGATGAATTGTCACTGCAGCAGTTCCCAGGCTGAGGACACCAACAGCTGCTTTTCCAACAGACAACCCTTGGTTTTCAGGCAGCAGAAATTGATCAGCTGATACCAAAGTATGCTCTGACTGCTTGGATATTCCTCTGTGGATCACAACCCATGGCTTTTACCAACTCTTTTGTCAGGCCTGGCAAAGAGCTTGAAACAAATAACAGAACATTTCTTACCTGCGGCTCCAGATTTCCCATTGAACCCTGGAATAGATATATCATTTTCCAGCCTTTCATGGTTTAATGTATAGGCTTTGGCCCTGTAGGCCCTGCCACCTCCTCCTGCTGCAATGATCAAGGGGATTGGCTTTCCATTCTCCATCTTAAAAGGTAGAAGGGAGAAATAAAACTAAAGTTTAGCTGTGCCAGATGTGTAAATAATAAGTGTGTTCCTTACATGGTAGCTGTACTTCATAACTTCCACAGGATGTAGATTGATCTAAATTACTATTGCATTCTTATGTACAGTGAGCCCTTGATTTAACAAACCTTGGCTTAATAGACTTTGGATGCCAAAGGCAAATTTTTGTTGGAATGTCACCCACAATTTACAGATGAAGTCTATTTTTTTTTCAAACTAGACCAGATAGCACTTGCTTCTGTGCATGTACTCGCAATCTTGATGTGTTGGTGTTTGTTGTTGTAGGTGTTCTGGCTTCACTCTTGAAGTGAACCATGGCTTTAAAGGCTTCAAAGAATCCAATGGTGGGCAGAAAAAGCAATTTTAGAATGTAGTAGACAATTCCCTATTTGATTGATTTATAAACTGGCTCACTCCTTTACAAATAATGCATAATGCAATACAGATAACAATTCAATGATACACAATAAAACTACAGAATAATAACAGTAGCAACGTCACTGGTGGCCACAGATCTGATTTGAGCTGTGACCTTCTGGAATCGCCAGGGCTTAATCGTTCTCCAGTAGGCTATAAGATTGGGAGCTCTTCTTGCCTTGACAGCTATTCCGAAAGTTGGAAGAAGCCACTAAGAATATTCTCCTCCATGGTCTCTTCAGTTGCACCTCTTGATAAGAAGGTACTTTCTGCAAGCATTTTCTATTCAGAATTTATGAGGGGAAGTGGTACCTAAGGTCCCCAGGCCCTGAGTCATATAGAGCTTTGTAGATGATAACTAGTGCCTTGGACTGCACTCAGAAATGAATTGGTAACCAATGCAGCTCCCATAAGAATAGTATTACATGACTATACTGTGGTTGTTTCGTAAGCATATGGGCAGCCACATTCTGCACCAGCTGAAGTTTCTAGGGAGTCTTCAAGGGCAACAGAACAAATTGCAGCAATTCAACTGTGAAGTGTCAAGGGTGTGAGTGACTGTCTACATTATGTCCTGATCTAGCTGGGCAAAGACCCTCCTGGTCATGGTCAACACTGCTTTTCCAACAGAAGCTATGTACCCCTGTGGGCCATCTGGTTGCAAGTCTTTTCTTTCAACACAACCCCTTCAAGAGCTAAATTAGTGTCACCCCAGAACTGGCTGTCCTTGGAACAAACAGCCACCCAGTCTTACTTAGACTAAGTCTGAGCCTGTTCCTCCCTCACAGTGTTTGGGTACTGGGTCAGGATTTCTATCACATCTCCCATTCAGCTCAGGGGGAGAGATGTAATTGGATGTCATCAGTATATTGATAGTACCTTATCCTGTACCAATAGATGACAGCTTCAAGTAGATGCAAATCATGATGAGGACAAAAACCAGTTGTCAGATCCAGTAGGCACATGGAACAGGCTGCTTTAATCAGCCCAGCTTCCCTGTGGAGTTGGTGACTCCAGTTAGCCTGCTTGGTCTTGAGGAAGTGAACTGCCATGATTGTGGGTCTGATGGAAAAGTCTTCCGGGTCATTTACTGTATCCATATGCCAAAGATTAATGGAGCTCATCAGTTCTATCATATACTGCAGGAACAAATAGTGGCTGTATTGGGCAACAGTATGCATAAAGAGATGTTGGTGACCTCTAGACTTCCAGATGTTTGTGGTAAAACACAATGGCTCATTAAAGGATTATATTGTACTCAGAATCACTACTTTGGCCTAGCAACTTTGTTGCCATTCTTAACTATAAGTGCAATGATCTATGGAATCTGAGAACAATGCATAAACTACAGCTCTTAGGATAACTCTGTATTTGCAGAATTGTGGGGTTTAGAATCAATACCATGAACCTTTAAAAATATTGCTGTTTTTCATTTCAGTTAAAACAATACATTTCATATCAAGGGGTATACACTTTACTAATTCAGTAAGATTATAAATTGGCTTAGCTGCCATGATAAAGCCATGATTTATTGCAGAGATAGGTAAACTATAGTTCTGGGGTTGGAAACACCTCTCAATCCCCTTCTTTTGAAGGCAACCTCTGGTCATGATTGCTGAAATCCTATGGCAGTTTTCTGCCACTTTGAGCTGGAAACAGAGAAAAGCCATGGCACAAGCATATCACAGTTTAAAAAAGAGGCAGGCAACCCTTAAAACCCCAAACCTGTTTGTGTACAGACTTTGTTGCAGTCTTAACCTCCCACAAATGCTAAATACCAACCTCGACTCTCATGAGAGCCCTATTCTTTTTCCTACGTTGGGTTCCTATGAATTTCTGTGAAGGAACTGCAGCAAGCCAACCCCTCTGAAAACAGATAAAGCTTCAGACACAGTACTAAACTGAAGTTTTGAAGAAAAAATAGGGACAATGACTGTGTTGCAGCTGGGATAGAAGAGGGAAGGTCTGGAAAGCACAGGATCCAGGGGCTTTGTTTCAAGGTTTACATTCCTTCAGAGATAGTTCCCCAAAGCCAGATTCCTAGAGAGCTACTCTTTCTGACATCCTCACTTTTTCTGCCTCCCCTCTTCTCTCAATACATCCCAGAGTTAGAGAAATACTTTGCCTGAAAAACATCTCAGATTCAGCCTTCTACCTCCAAAAGAAGAGCCCATAATCAGAATAAAAGGTATTTCTTAATATACCGATACCTTAAATATGTAAGTTGCACCTCCTCCTCCACCTCCTCCTCCTGCCCATTCTTGGACGCTTCCATTGGCTTTAATTTCATCTTCAATCACATTATTCTCTCCGCGGCAGACTTTCTGTATGGCATGATGGATCTGCAGATACAACCAGGTAGACAGATTCAGACAGAGAAGCCTGCTCTTGGCCTCCATCCATGGAACCCAGAGCTACTGAGCCAGTGTTATTCCCAGCCTAAATCTTAGCTTACACCTGGTGTAGTATGAGAAGAGCTCCAAGGTGAAAGAACTGTTTTCTCTAATCTGGTGTCCTCAGCTGTACTGAAACTTTCAATCCTTGAATATTCAACCATTGTTATCAAGTTTAGCTTCTGTGGCTGAATGCCCTTTTGCATAAGGAACAGTTTGTAATTAGCTCAGCAGGAAAAGGACTGTGCTAGAGACTTTCACTTTCTGATAGGTTTTGATTTTTGTTTTTATTTCAGGAAATATGGCATGATACATTGGAAAGCAATGAAGTAGGACATTCTGCAACAACAGACTGAGGTGTCACCCCTCTTCCATCCTTGGCGTGTACAGTATCACTTCGTTCTGCTGCATGTTTAGAACAGGCCAAGCCGATTGGCATGGAATTGATAGTAGGTTACAGATTTATGAAATAGAAATTATGTTCTTGCTTGGCTTTTTAATTGGGCTAATTTGCTGTTTAATATAATGATAAAAGTGCCAGGCAATTCTCTCAAGCAATTATGTGTTTTTCTTTGCAAAGAAATGATCAGAAAAGAACCCCTTCTTCCTGCCAGTAAACATCCTGGATATTTCAAGAAATGTTTCATTAGAAGTTAATAATTATTAGAAATGATTTCCTAATACCCCACACAAAGATGCTCAGCTCAGAGAGGACATTGGTGGTAGAGTTATGAATGTTGGGTCTGTCTGTCTGCTCCTTCGCCCAGCAAGAAGACCTTGCTTCAACCCCAGGTGTATTGCAAAACAGCACAAATTTTACTTTCATGTTGGCATCATATCTCTACTGTGAGGCTCAGAAGTTCAATATATTCTTTTGTGAAAGTAGGCTTACACACTAAATAAGAAATATGCTTTGTGTTGAGAGGAACTAAGCAAAAACTGGGTACTTTAGATTGGCTCTCAGTCCATATGGATGGGGTTGTCTTACAAATACTATTAATAAACTTTTGCTGCCAGAATAGACACAACATAAAACAGATGGATATATTCTGTTCCTAGTGAACTTCTAACATAATGATGAGAAATTAACTGTGACTGAATGCATTCACCCCAGAGTCTATTCAGATGTTGGAACAAAAATCTGCTTAATTCCAGCTTTTCTTCATGGATCTTATGGTGACATGCAAGCCTGACTTTCCATGTATGAGGGATTAGATTATGTTGAAAATACAATTACTTCAACAGAAATTTGAACTCATAGTGATAAGTGTAAAGTGCTATCTAATGATAGTCAACCCAGTTCCCTCTAGATGTTTTGGACTACAGCTTGCCTAATCCTTGAATTGGCCATGCAGGCAGGAGCTGATTGTGTTTGTGCTATATGTGTGTGTGTGTTTGTATAGTTTTAAATTGTTGTTAGCTTCCCAGAGCCAGGACTTTGAGATAGGCAGCTATATAAAATGAATGAATGAATGAATGAATGAATGAATGAATGAATGAATGAATAAGTAAGAAAGAAAGATTGAATTGTTTGTTCATTGTAATCCACTATTCTGCCTCTGAACAGTGATCAAATATTCACAGAATATTCATATACTTTCTTTAATGTTTTGCAATCG